TCCAGGGGCACAAGGATGGTTTAACATCCGAAAATCAATCAACGTTATCCAACACATCAACAAAAAGAAATATAAAAACCATATGATAATATCAATAGATGCTGAGAAAGCTTTCGACAAAGTGCAACACCCATTCATGATAAAAGCCCTTGAAATTCTTGGGATACAAGGAACATACCTCAACATCATAAAGGCCATCTATGACAAGCCAACAGCCAGCATCATTCTCAATGGTGAAAAGCTGTAAGCAATTCCATTAAGATCTGGAACAAGACAAGGATGTCCACTCTCACCACTGCTTTTCAATATAATACTGGAAGTCCTAGCCAGGGCAATAAGACAAGAGAAAGACATCCAAGGAATCCAAATAGGAAAAGAAGAAGTCAAACTATCACTATTTTCAGACGATATGATATTATACATAGAGAACCCCAAAAACTCCACAGAAAAGCTAATTCAACTCATCAATCAGTTCAGTAAAGTGGCAGGATACAAAATCAACATGCAAAAGTCAGTAGCCTTCCTATACACAAACAATAAATCTGAAGAAGAAGAAATAAAAAAAAACATCCCTTTTGTTATTGAAACAAAAAAAATCAAATATTTGGGAATAAATCTAACAAAAGAGATAAAGGACCTATACAAAGAAAACTATAAAACACTGTTAAAAGAAATAGAAGAAGACACAAAGAAATGGAGAGACATCCCCTGCTCGTGGATTGGAAGAATAAACATTATTAAAATGGCCATCCTTCCAAAAGCAATATACAGATTCAATGCTATTCCAATCAAAATTTCAATGTCATTCTTCAAAGAAATGGAACAATTATTGATGAAATTCATATGGAATCACAAAAAACCCCGAATAGCCAAAGCTCTCCTGAAAAAAAAGAAGGGAATGGAGGCATTACACTCCCAGACTTCAAACTATACTACAAAGCCATAATCATCAAAACTGCATGGTATTGGAACAAGAACAGACATACAGACCAATGGAATCGAATAGAAAATCCAGAAATAAATCCACGGATTTATGGTCAACTAATCTTTGACAAAGGAGCAAAGACTATGCATTGGAGCAAAGAAAGTTTGTTCAATAAATGGTGCTGGGAAAACTGGGTCGCTACATGCAAAAGAATGAAGCTTGACCACTACCTCACACCATACACAAAAATCAACTCAAAATGGATTAAAGAACTAGACATAAGACCTGAAACCATAAAATATATAGAAGGAAATATAGGCGAAACACTACGTGATCTGCACATCAAAGACATCTTTACAGACACATCACCCAAAGCAGTGATAGTGAAAGCAAAGATAAACAGCTGGGACTACATCAAATTAAAGAGCTTCTGCACAGCAAAAGAGACAATAACAAAAACAAAGAGAAACCCCACCAACTGGGAGAACATTTTTGCACCCAACACTAATGATAAAGGACTGATCACAAAAATCTGCAAAGAGCTGATGAGACTCAGCAACAACAAAGAAAATAATCCAGTCAAAAAATGGGCAGAAGAGCTAAAAAGAAACTTCTCTGAAGAGGAAATGCAAATGGCCAACAGGCATATGAAAAAATGTTCAACATCACTTGCCATCAGGGAAATGCAAATCAAAACTACCATGAGATACCATCTTACACCAGTGAGAATGGCACATATTAAAAAAACTAGCAACAACAAATGCTGGCGAGGGTGTGGAGAAAAAGGAACTCTTCTGCACTGTTGGTGGGAGTGCAAACTGGTCCAACCACTGTGGAGAGCTGTGTGGAGATTTCTGGACCTACTAAACATAGAGCTTCCATATGATCCAGCAATTCCACTCCTAGGTATTTACCCAAAGGACACAGAAACATCAATTCCAAAGAACACCTGCACCCCTATGTTTATAACAGCACTGTTTACAATAGCTAAGCTTTGGAAACAACCCAAATGCCCAAAAATAGATGACTGGATCAAGAAGATGTGGTACATATATACCATGGAATATTACTCAGCATTCAAAAAAGATAAACACATGCAATTTGCAGCAACATGGATGGCGCTGGAAGGGATCATGCTCAGCGAAATAAGCCAAAAAGAAAAAGAAAAATACCGGATGGTCTCACTCATAGCAGGAATCTAGAAAACTTAAATAAGGGACCAGGAAAATGAATAACTATAAGAAAGTGAATATCAAAATCAACAAAAAACTATGAACCAGAGACACTTTTAGGGGGGCGGGGGCGGGAGGGGAGGGATTGGGGTCAGAATGGGGGGCTGCAATTGTATGGGGAATATAACAATAAAATTAAAAAAATAAATAAATAAATAAATAAAAAAAAAAATGAGCAAAGGATAAGACAAACATGAGGAAAATAAGCTTAAGCATTGTTTTTGTGAAGGAACACTGATTTTCATTACTTACCTCAGATACAGAGGTTTTGAAAAATGAAAGAATTTTTTTTTTGCCTAATTTGAGTTGTAGAAAGCATACTGATGTGTGAATCATACGCAGTTTTTAATAAAATGCATTTAAAAAATAAAAAAATAAATAAATAAATAAAAAATTCTGCCTTACAGGCCATATTACTTCCTTTCAGGATCCTTAATTGGTGGTCACAGATCTAGACTGCTGAACTCAAGTTGTAGGAGTGAAGATGAGCCAAGAAGGTTCTTTAATAAAGTCACATGGAAACTATGTCTGGCAAGAAACAAGAGATTGACAAAGCCTCCAAGTATGTTTTTGTCTCTTAAATGAAATCAGTCTGGATGGTCGAACTTTAAAATACAGGTCCCAGGCACACCGATGGCAGGAACCTATTCTTCCAAATTCAAAACCTACTCAGGTTGAAGTAGAAGGGTAAGTCAGGAAATTCCAAAGCATTTTCCTATCTTTGGCATTTAGGAAAGGGCAGTGGGTTGACTCAGTCATGGAAAACACAGGACCGAATCTCGCAGAGTTTCTGGGTGTGCACACTCATGTAGACAGTTCCAAATTATGATAAATCAAAGAGCCAAGAATAACAGAGCGAAAACTAAACGGGCCCATCAGAGGTATGTCTTTAATACTTGGCCAGAAAGGGGCAGCCTTGGACTACACCAAAGGCCCAAAGACCAAGCTGTGTTTCCTGGCACACAATAAAACATTTCATAGAGTCATGGAAAACAAAAAGAAAATCGAATTAGGATCATTTAGTTAGGTAGACTTTGATTAGAAAGTTTTTTGTTCAACCCTGAAACATAGTTTCTCTTCTCTGTCTCTCAGCCCTTTGCTTGAGCACTAACAATATTTGTCCTGCTATGAAATTCCCTTCCTTACCCTTCCTTGCCTTTCCTGCCAAAAGTCATTATAAATAAAATATGGTTGTAGGAGCAGATGTGATCAAAGGGAGAAAGTCTTTCATATCTAAAAGAATGCGAGGGGCCTCCCCAGTGGTGCAGCCGGTTGAAAGCTATGCTGTGAAGCTATCCACAGCCTCTGCAGCGCAGGTTCAATTCCCGGACAACCACGGAGAAACCCACATGGTGCAGCAGACCTCTCCTGCCTCGCCCGCTGCTCCCCTCAGCAGTGTCTTTGGTCCGTCTGCCTGTTCTGTTCTCCGCTCTGTCTCTGGTGAATTCTCTCACCCTCTCAGGCCTCTGATTATACCATAGTTCTTGTGTTAATAAGTAATTATTTTTAAAAAATAAAACAATGAGAGAGCAAGAAGGTACTAACTGAATAGAAGTAAGGAAGACTATGCCAGGGCCAGGTCTTGGGGGCCAGCTAGTGGGTTAAGTGTGAGAAGCCCACCAGCACCTTAGTGGTGATGCTCAATTGGCAGTTGGACATATGGGTCTTGATTCAGGGGACAGGCCAGCAAAAGGAATGCTGTTTAAAAGTCTGACACTAAATGAAATCACCAAAAGGGAAGAAAACAGAGAAAACTAAAGGACTCTGCAGATTCTCCATGGTGACAGACACACGTACCCAAACACTGTTCTGTGCTAAGATAAAAGGTGGAATGGAAGAGAAACCACATACTCTAAAGATATTGTGATTTTTAACAAATGAGACAAAGACCCAGCTGTGAGACAGAAGGAACACCATGAAAGTGTGGTTCCAGAAACCAAAGTATTTAAAGGAAGACAGAGTAGTTCACCATGTCCAGTAGGAGAATTCACTCCTGAATTTAGCAACATGAAAAGACATCAGTGAGCTGATGAGATTAGTTTTGGCTGTGTGATGGGGGGAGTGTAACAGGAGTAGGTTCAAGAATGTGAGAACAGAGCATGTTACACAAGTTGTTCAAGGAGTTTTGCTGCAAAGAAATGGAGAAATGGCATAGCTGGAGGGGGATATGAGGTCAGAGGGAGAAATAAACACATTTTTATATGTGGTAAGAATTGCCATTAGAATAAGACTTACTGATAAATAGAGTGGATTGTGGGTGGGGGTGTAGAAATGGGTCTAATTACCCAAGTGGGTGTATTGGCCATTGGTAGGGAAAACATACTAAGAAAAATCAGTGCTTAGGCTGACACATACATGGGCATACACGTGATGGTGGGAACTCTTGTAGGTTCTTCTGTCTGCCTCTGTGGTCTCAAAGAAACAGGAAGCAAGTTCATCAGGGGAGACGGAGATATGAGAACAGGTATTAGATGTTGGTGAGAAGAGGAGATGGTAGGAGAGTCATTTAGAAGACTGGAGAAGTGAATGGAAGGTGGATATTAAGTGTGATTTCTGGCCTGTGCTGAGGCCCAGTCGAGCATGAATTTAGGATGGTCCTCAGCAGGGATGGGGTCAAGTTTAGCTAACAGATACAGGTACAGAGGTGGAGAGTAGGATAACCTAGGCTGAGGACTTGTTGAGCAAATAAGACAAATAGTTATTGAGTGAGATTAAGTGGCATGACCTTGAGTGGAATGACCTCCTGCCACCATATAGATTTTAGTTTTCTCCAGGGATCAGATTCCTGTCCCACCAGGTTTTGTCATCTCAGTCCACAAAACCCAGGATTATAAAATACTCACCGCCCTTCGAATCTGTGTTTTAAAAAATCAAACAATGCTTTCTGCATCATATCTGTGACCTACAATTGAGCAAGCAACAAATTAAAAACATAATAAAACAATTGTACTCCTTTTAAGATTTGGAGAAAGTAGCACGCAAGGTCTCCACAATTTTATTGACTTCAGATACAATGGCAATTAAAAAGAAAATTTTCTGAACTCGTCCAGATGTTTTAGTGACAATAAATTATGTGGCAAGTGGTTTTAGTCAGTCTCCACTTGATACTATTTCCAGGAAGGAGTAAACTAAAGCAACAACCAGGAAAACAAAATAGGAAGTAATGTCTATATCGCAGCTTGAATAACTCACTTTTCTGCTAGGAGCTCTTTTAAGTTCTAAATTCAGAAGTCAGGAGAGGGAGGTAGAGTCACAGAGCAGCTCAGCCTGCGAAGATCAGCAGCAACTTACCTCATACCCCTTCAGGGAAGGGCCCACTAGGACCACTGGTCGCATGGACGGTACCACGTCATAAGGAGGTGTGTGCTCTGTCTGCAGAGAAAGGAGAGGCCTTCAGATGTTTAACAGGCAGGGGAACCTACATCACGTATAAACTGCTCTTTCTGAATTCTTTTACAGGCTTTCCAGACAAATCAAGTTTTTTTTTTTGTTTTTGTTTTGTTTTGTTTTTTTTTTGCTTGATTCTTACCTAAATAAACCCAATCAAAAACTGGTGGGTTTATTTTCCTAAAGTTTTCAAGATCCTGAATTATCTACAGTTTTCTTGCTCTCCTCAAGAAAAGCTTCTGGTAGTAATTTCTAAAGCAGGAGGTGCTGCTTTTGAATATAAACCAGTTGAGAGAACAGACAGAAACATGCCTCATGCAGAAAGGTGCTTCAGGCTGGGCCAGAGGTTAATGCTGCTTTTTAGATGCATTTGAGTTTTCTGAAGACTCTAATGAAGAGACCTAACATGATTAATTATAGAGAAAAAAAGGTCATATTACCTTTGTGTCTTAGATGTTTGTCTTACCTGGATAAAACCTAATTTCAAAACATTTAACTCTCATTACCAAATACTTGAGAATTTATTACTGTGAGAGTTTTAATTAGCATGCACAAGCTAATTAAAATACCAAGTAGGATCACTGTTCACTATTTAGTGATTAATGTTTTTGGATTTTTGCTTTCTTCACCTCAGAACTTAAAAACTTGGAAAGAAGTTAGTTAATGTGTAATAATACAATCAAACAATCTGCAGTGGCCTCAAAAACTTCATTATCAACTTGCATATCTAATATGCATCTCAAGAACTGTTCAGGTAGTGTTTCTGTTACATCACTGATTTATGTCTTTCCACAATAACATTTCTTTCTTGGAAGAGGAGGGCTAGCAGCTAAATTTTTTAGCAATTTCTAAAAACTTTCAAAATTTCTTGACTGCTTCAAATGAAGTGATTAAAATTTTTCTAAAAACTTACACAACAGCTAATTTGTTTGGTTATATTGAAATTGGCTCTGTTTATAACAGAAAAGTGCTAAATTGATGAAAACAAGACCATTTTTATTGCAGAATTGAGAGATAAATGCTGGGATAAATAAATCATTGTCACATGGATCTTTCCATTTTTAGCAGACCATATCTGAAAAAATGTTTTCAGAATCAGAGCAAAAAAGAAATATTCTTTAAACTAAAAAATGTGAAACCATCTTGAGGACATTGAGCTTAAAATTGCTCATTTCAACTTTCTGACTTCAATTGAATTTAATTTGCTTAAGGGAGGAGTAAAAAGCATTTCAAATTGAAAAGCTTCCATCTGAGATTTCACCAATAGTCACAGACAATATAATTGGAAGGGAGAAAATATTACTGAGACTGTGCTGTCAAATTTTACTGCTTAAAATTTTACCTAGTTTTCAAAATTAATTTTAATAGACACAGTAAAGGCAAAACACATTTTTAAACAGAAAAAAAAAACAAGACAAACATAATACAGTGACAGCACAAATGCCACACAAGCATCACTCTAAAAAGCAACCTAAAACATGGAAAACAATCTTTTGCTGAATCTCACGTTGTTTTTGTTTTCAAAATCTACATTGAAGTTGACCACATAACTGATAACATAAGAAGAATGAATACCAGTGCCGAAGGCATCATAAGCATGTTTGGATTATCACAAGTATACCACCTAGGATCATACTAAAAATGTTTAGAAGCCAAGTCCTTATAACTATGCAGTATAAGAATATCTTTTCCGCTGTTAGAATTAGGAATATAAATTGCATGCATTTTAGTAGCAACTACCAAGAAATTCTATTTCAAGTCTTTAAGTATTAAGTGGCCCGGTTCTGGTTAGGTCTTTGGTTCCTTTGATCTTTGATCTGTGACTGCCAACTAGCCAAGGGTTACCCATGCTGGTAGTAATCAATCAGGTTCTTAATAGGGTTGCTACAGAAATTACCTTATTTGATGGAATATTGGTACTTTGTGCCCTATTAATAATAACACTCTTTTTGACCTATATTCTCCTGCTCATCTTATTTTGTTCCAATTAGTGGAAATATGATGATAAACGTTTTTAAAGTTTTGGGATTTAAGAGTAAGCAAACCTCAAAAAAATCTGTCTTGACTAATCTGGTTTTGGTTCATGTTCCTGCTCTGTCAAGTTCAAAGTGGCTCAGTAATGCTGATTTTCTGGGCTTCTGCAACATGAGCACCATTACTTGGCTGCAAGTTTTAGCTGTAATGAGGTGACAGGACCAGAAAGATGGGCCCGCTGTCATGGAGGAACCTCAGCTGGGACCTTCTGGGTTCACACAAAATCCATGTGTTTCGGTTGAGGTCTTCCATTATTAAAATTACTATAATTCATTAAAAAAAATAAAACTTCCCAGTTTAATATCTGACACCTTCTTGATGACTTAAAAGTTCCTCCACAGAGCAAGATACTTGAATGCAGAGGAAAAGGTTTCAGGCCCCGTCAAGAGTTCATAGCAGAGTTGACTTCACTCCACACCTGTGTGCCACGCTGTACCCAGGGCTGTGCCAGACTCGGTGACAGGGGGAAGGGTGACTCTAAGAGAGCCTGGATGGCTGTGGAAAGTGGTGTGTAAAAGAAGGGAAGGGATGGAAACTGAAGGGGGGACCTTAAAAAATACTGCTTTAAAGCTGCTTAGAGGAACAGATTATGGAATAAAGAGAGCTCAGGGATACCCCAGTTTCCAGTCAGGGCATAAGAAGCATCGCTGTGTAATCTGGGTGGGCCGTGGCAAAGGCTGTACATACGACCACGCCCCCTTGTCCAACAGGCAAGATGCTGAAATCTGACTGATGGAGGAGGCAAGAACATGGGGAGGTATTTATATATGACAATAGGAAAAACTCACAGTAAACCGCCAAAACAAGCCTGCAGTTTTCCACTGGTCTTGTTCATCTGCAGATTTTGCACCTAGTGGATCAGAAGTTTAAATACTGACTAAATTAAAAATTGAATTTTTTTTTTTTAGTACAAGCTATGTATCTGGATATCATAAATCAGAATCTAATAATGGTTTAATATGCTTGATTATAAGTTAAATTTCTGGAAAAAAGAAAGACAAAGACAGACAGAATAAGCATGCACAATAGAGGTGCATTCTATGGAGTAGTCAGTGTTGGACACCCTTGTATGTTTTAAACCAATTCCCTTGGTGGTAGATATTATTCCATCAAAAAGGATAAGTACTGTAATGGCGCTTTAACAGGTCACTCACTGAATTTAGTTGGCTTGAAATGCATGGACTCAATTAGCTGTTTGCTAGGTTCTTTTCTTAGGACATAAATGATTGTAGCTAATCAACTGTGGACTTTAATGCTAATGATGCCAGTGGCAGGATAAACACAGCTTATGTCAATGTAAACTTACCGATTTCTGCTTCTGCTTAGCTACAGCAGCATGGAAAAGAAACAAAGAATAACAGAGCATGCATGTTATTGGCTTGTCAAAGGACGCAGACAGTCAACAGGACTAGAAATGTGACGCAGTGCAGTTGAGCAGGTGGACAGATGGGAGCTTGGAAGTTAATGTTACCTTCTTAAAGAAGGGCATTCTTTTCTCTTTGGAGTGGGGTGACGTTACACTGTTTGCACTGGGCTTAGGGGAGCGGTGGTTTGCTGGAATATCATTTTCTTCTGCATCTAAGCCAGTAGCATCTATGTCTATAGCTATATACAGACAAACAATTCAAAAATCATCAGGTAGACAGGAGAGGAAAAACAGGTTATAAAAAAAATAAAATGAAAGCAAATAAAACTAACCATAGCAAAAGATCCTATTATGAGTATTCAGCACGGTAAACAAAGTAAAATTTAAAGGTAAAGCACGTGAAGAATGCAATGCAATTAAATCTAAAACTGAAAGAGCCCCTCAATATCTGTTTGCTTATACAAATGCATTTTATATAAAATCTCTCAAATATTTTAGAGAAACATGTTGTAGTTTTAAATGTAATATTGCTATTTTCCATATGAACTGTATATAAGTGTAGCACAGAACATTTAGTCTCACTTTTTACAATCTCTCAAACCAGTTTTTAGATAATAACCAACTGCACCAGAAACCTTTATCACAGCGTGCCTCAGATTTCTTCTTTTGCTTGGTTTAGTTGGAAAACAAGGGTGATGTGAAAAGGTTCACTAGAATTGCAACAGGTATTTGAGGGACAGAGAGAATAGAAAGTTGTAGGTTGAGCCAATGGAAAGGAGTGGTACATGAGGCCAATGATTCAGGGCAGGTTGCTGGGTGGGCAGGATTAAAGTGATTTGGAGGTGGTGCGGGCACCCTCAGGCAGGCCTAACTGAAGACTAATTAGAAAACACTGAATCAGATGGTCTCCAAATGAAATGACTAATAAAATGAAACAAGTCTTCCGATGACTTATATAGTTACTGGGCTTGACACCAGAGTGGAGAGGTACCAGGACCCAGAAGAGTAAGCGACTGCCCTGCTTTCTGGGAAACGAGAAGCTTAGGCTCATTGTTCAGTGTGCTTTCACTTTTAGAATCTTTTGACCTGAAAATACAGCACTTGAAGATCAAGTGTCATCTTGAAGATAGACACTTCCACATACAATTACTATCAACTCTCTACTGTTTAACATTTAAAAGATAAACTCTTAAAGAGTTTAAGGGACTAGTTCTCTGTCAAATCACAGCAGAGCCAGGACTCAGAACCTCGTTCTGCTCGGCGAATCTGTACCCTGTCCCTGCACCAGGCTGCGTCTTCTGGGAGGTCTCTTCTCAACCCCATGCTCTCTTTTGTGTCCCTTGGATTCCCTAGTGGGCTTCTGTCCCCTGTGTCAGTACTCAGGAAGATATAAAGTTGAGATCACTAGAAAATTATTCTTGGTTTAGGTTAAGTCCAGGAGAAGGAAAGAAGAAAATCTACTCATCCCCGGAAAGCATCGTATTATACAATTTTGTTATCTCTCTAACAAAAACCACAGTACATTCAGATTTAAGAACCAATTACCACTGTGAAATAACAGACAGCTTGATGATGCGAAACCACTACCATTCCTCATGATGCGCAAGCTGATATGGCTTCCTCCTGACAGCTACTGCTAACCTTTTCAGATGACAGGCGATCAGCTGACAGGCCTCACATTATTTTTCAATTTTGAAGTTATTATGGGTATTAGATGACTAAGCCTTTTGAAAACTAGGATCTCTTGTTTCATCAGTCCCTTTCATTTGATTAGGTCAAAAATCCTTGAAGGAGTGACTACCTGGCATTGTTTGCAAAATATTGCAAATATCAGCTCTTGCTTGCATAAAGATGAGGTATGATCTTTTTCTCCAGTGAAGGTAATAATGGCTAGGGTTAATTTAGTTAGACTTACCTAGTAAATGTGTCTTTTTCTTTGTCTCATCTATGCATATTGATAAGCTGAAAGGCTCAGCACATGGTGCGCAATGGAACCATTATAAAGTGTACCCAGGGGTTTGAATGAGAGCTGGCTTTTATTGCACCCTATAATGCTTTTCCATGAATTCCAATTTAGGAAGCATGTCATTTGTGTCTTACTGGATATGATGGAGAGAATTCAGGTAAATTTTTCATTATTTCTATAGTATATTTTCACCCACATCAATTAAGTTTCCTTCTAGAAGTAAATTCCCATATACCTTTATTTTTCCCATCTTCTGCTGGGTTTATAAAGGGCACATTGAGGGGACAGTACCACCCAAGAGCCTTTTGGAAATTGAGCCCACTTAATTGCCTGTCAGAGTTGACAGGACCCTAGGATGACAAAGCTCATGGATTTGATTTTATGATTTATTCATTCAATTTGGTCTGCTGTGATGTGTGGATGGTTTTTTTTTTTTTATATTTTTTATAGAAATAGGGGAAATGCATAAGAAGTTTAGTGGTGACATTGCCTACATGCTTGGCTATTCACCCACATATCCTAAAAGTCAGGTTTGAAATTTATCTGTATTTGGTATACAAGGGCTCAAAACTCCAATTGAGAACTTTCTGATGTACTAATTCTGGCTAACTTAAATCTAAAAGCATTTATTCTGAAATAGAGGGAATCCTAAAATACTTGGCCACTTTCAAAACACATTAAAGAAATTTACTAAGAGAATGAGCAAATCTTTTTATTGCTCTGTATACTTTATCAGACTTAGATTGTTCTACTTAAATGAAGAAATTTACCCCCTTTTAATTACATTATTATACTGGCATAACTGGACAAACATCAGTATTTACTTGGGGAAAACTGCTTCTATAAATTTGAAAAGTTTTTTTTTTTCTCACTAGCATACACTGTGTCTTGGTAGAGAACCATGGAAACATTTTCTTAAATTTTAGTGTAATCTTATACATGTGCCTAGTTGTATCTAGTTGAGTGGAGTGCAGGGGTAACAAGTGTGTGCTCAAGTGTGTGGGCAGGGGATGTGCAGCTGGCTGCATGCTATTACACAGAAGTGAACTGGGAAACTTTTCCAGATCCCTTAGAATATCCAAGTATATTTACTTTAGGCAGACACTTACAGTCTGTGGTCTAGCAACAGGTGAGCTGAATTGTAGACAGGGCCTCTGGGAAGCAAAGATGAAAATTATAAGTGTAAACCAATGCACATTTGCTAGGTTAGACAGTTTCCCTGGAAGAGAGAGAGAGAAAGAGAGAAAAAGAAAAAGAGAGAGAGAGAGAGAGAGAGAGAGAGAGAGAGAGAGAGAGAGAGAGAGAGAATGTGTGTGTGTAACCTCTCTAAGTTTTGCTTTAGATAAGATGTGCTATTGAAATGAGAATTACAGCAGGATCCTGATGTATACTTTTATAAAATGTTGTAACTGTTTAATTATCTCTGTGGTCCACTGAATCACTAGTGTTTTCCTACTTTTGGTATTCAAAAAGTCCTGTAACTATATGAAACTTGGGCAAAGTTCTCAATCATCCTTATTAAACTCTTAATTGAACTGCATTTTTAGTAATGACAAACAGCTGGCTATGAAAAAAGGAAATGTTATTTTACAAATACACTAACTTAGAATTCAGAATGCATGCGTTTGCTCTCAGTATACTACTGAATGCTAAGCAGCAGACTGCAGGGCTAGAGGACTGGAAGCATCTCCCTGGTCTACAGAAGGGGGCTGCCATCCGCAGGCAGGGCTGCTGCTTTGTCACAACGTGATGCAGCATTTTCTTATTTTAGGAGCTTCATGATAGTTCTCTGGACTCCCTGAGACAGTCTTTAAGACACATGGGAAGAGGATAAGGCTTACCCCATAATACCTGCGACTGCAAACATGTGAGAAGTAGCAGAGACAAGCCTCCTTTCCCTGTACATGTAAGAAAGATCCATTCCCCGCTGCTCAAGGATGAAATAAGCCTTACATAACACTTAAAAGGGTTTCAATTTCCAACATATTTTACTTCATTTGGGGCAAGTTAGAATTACTGCCAGTTACAGGTACATGGTTTCTGAAATCACTAGGTATTATAAAATTACTTATTTCTTATTGCTCTCAGATTTTGCTCACTTAAAATGTCCTATAATTCTCGCTAAGAAGTACTTGATTGGTCCCTATAAGCTGCCAACATCCAGGAATGAGGGGTGGTCATTAGTAAAAGGGGGAATCTATTCTTAAGACATACTAGTCATAGTGCAACTTGTTCCTTAATTTCCCCATATAAGCACAATTCTGTCTTTGACATCTTCCCACTGCTAAGTTCCTCAACATCACACCTGAAGACATTTTGCTGGAACACTCTGCTGGCCAACCTTGTAATCTTACTCTGACTCTCAATTTTAAGTCTTAGCAAAGTATGACTCTGATCCTGAGCTTTCATACAATTTTTCAAATTTTTCTCCTATTTATATAGACCTCTAAGTTCTCACATTGGAGTTTAGCAAATAAAAATTCAATTAAATTTGAATTTAAGATAAACAATTTTTTAGTGGAAACATGTTTCATACAATAGTTACTTACACTACAAAATAATTTGTTGTTTATCTGAAGTTCAAATATAAGTTGGTGTCCTTTTCCACTGCTTTGGAAAGAAAACAATAATTATTCCTCCCATAAGTGCTTTTTCTGTTTTGGATACTTCTACACATCCCTATGTCTTCTGCAGAGCCTTTCAGGTAGAGTTCACATCAGGCCAGTTGCTCCACTGTCACCTCATTCCCCTTTCCTCACTTTTCTAGAGTTTTATCATTCTCTTTTTATTTAACATCGAGTCCAACATCTCACATCACATTATAGTTGTTGGTGGACATTCACCCATTTACTGCCATGACAATGTATTGGGTACCATGGTAGAGGAGGTGATAAAGTTAAATACATTACTTTGATCATCTATAGCAAATTACAGTGAGCATATTGACATATTTTTTCAAATCCAGAAAAAAATTCCCCCACCTTGTTCCAAACGCATATGAATGTTATTTCTGAACATTTTCATCACTTCTAGAGCATAGTGTTTTCTGTATGTAAACTCACACAATTAGGGTCTAGAAAGAATGAAATGCAATATATAACACTCAGTACTTATCACTTACTTACCAGATGATGGAGGTGTAGATTTTCTGGAACTAGGTACTATGTCACCCAAACTGGATGATGAATTTCCTCCTGATTTACTGGAGTAAAGCAAAAAGTTATATTAAATCTGATACTTATTTCAGATATTAAAACATTTATAGTGCTCAATAAACCTTGATTACTCATTGAGTCCTTAATGAACCTTTAATCTACCTTTCCTTTAAGGAGGCAAATAATAATTTTCCAGTGGGTGTTGCTGGAGCCCTTGAAACTTCTGTTTCAAATTTAAGGTTTAATTTTAAGAGGCCCTGAGAAAAATGGAAGAGAATTAGGGCAATTTCAGCAGTCTTCACATTTCTGCTAGGATCACAGAGATAACAGCAGAGATTTCCTCTGATTATTATTTTAGAGACCCTCTGAAGCAACGCATAGAACCTTAAGGTTAACACCAAAACTTATTGTTTCCTTCTTGTTTGATTCTAACTTTATACTTAGACTGAAAGAACTCTAGCTTTCATGAGCAACCTACAAAAGAAAAACACGCAATACCAAAACTTGCTAACCTTTAAAAGCACATGAAAGAACAGAACATAGTGTTATATGAGTTCACTCACTCCCAGATAGTATCTGGAACATTTCTCCAGCTTGGCTAACATGGAGGATTTAAACTGGCTCATTTAAAAATTATTTGAAGAGCATATACTTCAGAACTACCAGATTCCAAAGTTGGATACAAGACATGCTCCAATGTCTTAGAAATTTTGGAATGAATATTAGAACAACGGCATTTATGTTATTTTTTACCAAACTACCAGCATGCAAAATAACATATTATGAAATGGCCCCATTCATACACAAAGATGGAAAGGAACATCTCAAAAAGTATTTGCTTGAAACCAGTAGGTATTGTAGCCTTCACTTCGCAGTATTGACATAGTATTTCACAAGACGATCTTAATTGCCCGGCCTTTATTATCATGGCCAAGCCGGGGTCTAATTGAAAGAATTTTCCATAGTGTCTGTGCATCAAAAGGTGGTATTTAAATAAATATCAATATGAAAATATAAGTGCCACAAAAATACCAATCACGAGCTGAATTCTATTACTACTATTCTGGCATTTTAATGCTTAAGCAGACAAACATCTAAAATTTTAAGCAGCTAACAGGAGGACTTCACATCATTTTAGGATTCTTAAGAGATATTCCAGTACATTTAAAAGGATACCAGGCAATATGTAAAAGTAATAAGAAGTGGTATTAATAGAAGCAGTTCTGGCAGTTATATAAGAATACCCATTACCAAGACCAAAACATTTTCTTCCAAAAGTGTTTTTTTTTCTTTTTCTAAAATACTAAGTCTAATTTCAGTTCTAGCATGGGTTTGTTTTGCATTCTCTTTGAATTTTAATAACAGTCAAAGTATTATTTGAATTGTGGCAAATACTGCAAATAGCCAAAAGTTCAGAATGTAAATTTGCCCTTACCTTTTAATTCTGTAAAAATGCCACTTTCTTGAACTGTGTCCCAATTCTAATGCCTTTGATTTTTTGTTGACTTTTATAATGTATATAGCAGAGTTTTAAAATACTGAATTCCGATTATGTCCTTAAAACTGTATTTAATAAAAGTAGGAGGAAAATACAAAAACCTCTGAAAGCAAGTAAAAATATGTTGCACCTACTTAGGGCAAAAGCTTGGGTAAAGAGACAGGATAAAATAAAATCAAGAAAAATAAAAGAAATATGTATACAGTTATAAGGCTACCTACAGTAACCTAAAATAAGTTGTAAAGCTGTTATGGTCCCCAAATATGGTTTATAGTTCATTAAGGAAAAATGCAAAAGCAAAAATATTATATCTAATACAATAACTAATAACAGATGACAATGATGATGACAGTCTTTTTACTATCCCAGGCCTGGATATGTGCTTCACAGAACAGCACGCCAGTGGGCCTGGTGTCAGGCTTTGGTCTGACTGACTGGGTTTTCCTCCTGGTTCTAACTGCGCCGCCTTGGTCAAGTTGCTTAAGTTCTTCTAGCCTGTGTCCTCATCTGTGAAGTGGAGGCTACAATACCTACTGGTTTCAAAGGATTGTACAAAGTTGAGCTAATCACTGGTGCTAGACCAGGGCTACACAGTTGAGAGACAGAGAAAACTTTTGGCAAAACTTCCTTTCATGCTCTTTGAGAAGCCTTTTTCTGTTCTCAGTTTGTACATGAAGAAGCAGAGAAAGATACACTAGTCTCTCGCTGCAAAAATCCACCCCAAATTTTCCAAAATGTATTCTATAAAAAACAACTCATAAGATATCAATCAGAAAGAATTTTTATAATTTTGGTATATATAAGAAAAACATCCCTACTCCACTCAGATTCACAGTGCATATCAACATGTCAGAGGCTCTGAACAAAATCCTAAAATAACTTTCTATTACTTCACACTATTCTAAACTAATTTGATCAGGGAGCCCCTTTTCAAGTGATTTGGCAGGAAAACTCTGGAAAATTCTGTATTATCCATAACAAACTAAAAAGCAAAACAAAAAACTCCCCAGCTGAGAAAATTTCAAACCTCAACAAAGTACAGTCAACCTCTGAGCAACACTGGTTTGAACTGCACTGGTCCAGTTGTATGCAATTTTTTTCAATAAATATATTGGAAATTTTTTTTATATTTGTAACTATTTGCAGTTCAAGAAGAACTGCATAGCCTAGAAATATCAAAAAAATATGTAAAAGTTATGTCATGAACACATAAACTATATGTAGAAAATAATCTATCATTTAGTACTATAGAATACACACAAATCTATTTTTTTTAAATATTTATTTACTTATTTATTTATACAAGCACTGGGTACAGTCAGAAGTGTGGGAGGGTGAGAGAATTCACCTGAGCCAGAGCAGGGAGCAGAGCAGGCAGAAGGATGGAAGTACACTGCTGAGGGGAGCAACGGGCGGCAGGAGAGGTCTGCGCGCCATGTGGGAGCCTCCTCCGGTGGCTGGGGAGCAGCCGGGGATCGAACCAGCGCTGCAGAGGCTGCGGGCAGCTTCGCAACTCAGCACTCAACCGCTGCGCCACCAGGGAGGCCCCACATAAATCTATTATAGGGGGTTGCAATTTATCAAAACTTATGCATACAAACACAGACCATACATAAATAGCATCACTGGAGGTTAAGAGAAATGTAAACAAACATTATTGGTAAGGCTTTCAGTCAATTTTAAATTTGGGGGGATTCAGAAGTTATATGCAGAATTTTGACTGCACAGGGGTCAAGGCCCCTAGTTCCTAAGTTGTTCAAGCATCAACTGTATATATTACTATATTGATAACGCTAGTATCTATGTCCCATGAAAATGAAATTTTCCACATTACAAGATATTAAGTCATAGCAAGACACCATTATCAATATGGAGACTAGGAAAATGCACAATGAAGTCAACAGAACACTAGAAATTGAATAACTAGTATCATACCTTCAACATCCTGCAGGTAAAATGCACGTGCTTTGTCTACATGTCTCTACTTTTATATGGCTAAGTGCATGCTGCAATCTTTAACAAATGCAAGTTACAATTCAAATATGGGGCAGAAGTTTTGAGAAAAGAACCCCTCTGAACTAAAATACTAGTTAATTGTACCTAGCTATAAAATACTAGTTAATGAAGATGGATGTTCAAAACAAAAAGCATATTCTATTTTGATTGTGGGTATTGAAAAACATTCTTGCTAATACTAAAACATTATCATTGATAAAGGATTATACAACTTCATATAAACAAGTAACAAGGAAGCCAGGAAAAAAAAAATCCAAAAGCTTAGCTATTCACATTAAAGAAAAGACTTGCTCATACAACTTTCCTTCTCATAGGGAAGAGTTCAGTTTAAAATTCACTCTGTCTAGAGATAATTCAGCCCCTGTCTGTTACATAAACCATCTAATTTCTGTGCATTAAGGCAATTTTAACCCATTTCATATTGAGTTTCCAGTTAAGTGTGTAACAGTGAGTAGAATTAAAAATTAAGTTTCTCAAGTGAAAATGAAACAGACCTCAAGAGCTGCTATTTATCAGTGATGTCTGAGATGTCGTTTCTAAAGTGGCGTCCTGCCCTACCAGCAGCTACAGACACTGCACTTAGTATCCCCGCCCCCAACCCCTCCCCCAGCTACTCAGAGCCAGCAAGACTGAGACTTAAGAATTTCCTCTGCACTGAAGCACAAATTTAATTCTCTATGACCCTAGCTGTTATCATGAATGATAATAATTAATTTGATTTCTTCCCAAATAAAATTAAAAAATCAGATGCTGGGATGAAGTTTTTAAAATTCAGAATTTGTGATGCTATCATTCATGAAAGAATTTCAATTTAAAATGGAAAATCTCATGCATGTACCCTTGGGAAAAGAAAATTTAAGGAGTGATAAGGACTGAGAGACTGATTCCTCATAAGGGCCTGGGTTACAGAAAATTGACACTTACCTTGGGAAGCCGTATTTCTGGTTTCCAGAGACATGAACAAGAAGTGACTTAGGTCAGGTTTGTCTCACAAAGTGGATTGGATTGGACTTTATAAGGCTGGGGTGGCTTTGACCTCTCAGGGAATTTTCAGGGTTGATGTCCATTTGTTTTCTGTTTTAGTACATGCCAATGAATTCTCCCTCTTTACAGTCCCTGGCCATAAATACTGTTTACCCCAAACCTTCAAGAAACCTGTGTGCAGTTTAACATGGTTTTTGCAAGTTCAAAATTGTAATTCCTCTGTTCCTCCTGAATAAACTTACCTTTTTTGACAATTTTGAGCTTGTCTCAGTTTACTTCTTTATTTAGAGCCAGCACAATAAACCATATCACTGTAACAGGATGGTCCCCAGGAAAGGGGGAGGTTCCAGGTTCCCTGCCCCATCCAAGGGAGGGTGGAGCTGAGCAGAGAGAGAAGCTGCAGAGGAGACTGCGGAAGGAAGGAAGCAGGATGGAGCCAGAAGGAGACCTGGAGGAGGCACATGGAGCCTAGAGACACGTGAAGAAACTGCGCTTGTCTTTTGGTCGTGGACTGGGTGACACAGATGTGGGTGAGACCCGTGGGGAGGTGACAATGGCAGCTTTTATCTTGATTTTGATTTTGCTCTTTTCCTTCTGGGCTTGTCTGGTTGTTTCTGACCCTCTTCTGTGGGTCCCCACTGAAAGGTGCTTTAGACTTGGGACAGGCTTTTGGGCCTTGATCTGGGCCAATCCCATTTGGATGGAGTTTTACCCACAAGGGGACGGGTAACTCGGGTGCTTCAATTAGAAACAAGATTCTTTGCCTTTTCTGTATTGTTTCCTAATTGTAATAAAATTCCTTCCCATTAAAGTCTCATGTTTTGTGTTGATGCACCGGATGGCAAAACCTATTTAGAACAGGCAGGTTTGCGGGGTCTGGGCTGCCCCTCTTCCTGCTCTGTAACAGATTCCTGAAACCTGCCCCTTTCCTGGGGACCACCCTGTTATATCACCAGTTTGTCTCTTAACAGACATAAAAAACCACAGAATATAGCAAATAACAGCATTCTGTTATAAATGACAGTGTAAAAAGACTTTGACACAAATACTTGATGTTTTTCTCATACCTGGAGTAGAATTTCCCTTGCTTGGCTCTCTGTTCATGCTGTAGCCTCATATTTTCTAGTTTGACTGGGCTTGGAATGAATCCGATTTCACAGCCTTCCTTAACCAATCGCCCTATCCACCAGTCATTGTTAAATTTCTAAACACAAAATCAAGAAATGATTACGATCAGTATACAGAAGTTCAAATCTTCTACTTATAGTTCTTCCAAATTAGCTATTTCAGTGGAGAGAAATATTATGGCAATTACAGTTAACTATGCCTCAAATATCACAATTTATTTTATTTATTTATTTTTTTTTTTGTGGGACCCTCGCCGGCGGCTGGGGAACAAACCAGCACTGCAGAGGCTGCGGGCAGCCTCGCAGCCCAGCGCTCAACCACTGTGCCACCAGGGGAGGCCCTCAAATATTACAATTTTTAAAAAAGATTTATTTATTTATTTATTTATTTATACAAGAACCGGGGTACAGGCCAGATGTGCAGGAGGGTGAGAGGATTCACCAGAGACAGAGCGGGGAACAGAACATGCAGACTGACAAAATACACTGCTGAGGGGAGCAGCAGGCAAGGCAGGAGAGGTCTGCTGCACCATGTGGGACCCTCACTGGCCGGGATCGAACCCGTGTTGCAGAGGCTGCAGACAGCTTCACAGTGCTGCGCTCAACCACCTGCACCACCAGGGGAGGCCCAAAATATCACAATTTAAGAGACCCTTAGGTTCACAGGCTGAGCATGTGAATGTTGTGGTGGCTCAGCAACCAGCTGCAGGCTTGGTTCTACCTTCTTTTCTGGGTTCCGCCTTGAGACTTGCATGAATTCCATCACAACTGCCTTTGTCACCCTGAGTAGGATAAACTGCTTGCTCAAAAATTAACAGCTCTTCCTAGCAAGAGACCATTAGGAACTACACAGTGTTAAAAAGATTTTCCTTTTATATAATCAGATTAATTAGCAGCATTAAGTGTGAGAGAGAAATACTGAAATCTGCCTGAAATATTGTGTCTCAGAACAAAATTTAGCTGTGTGCAAGCCAGTTAATAATTACCATGATACAGTGTCCACAAAGGAGATGATTTCTCTACTTACACTTATGGTGACAACTTCTCTCTCAGGGATGAAATATTTTATCTTAAATATCATCTGGGTCAATTCCCCTCAACTGAATATTTTTCAATTCTTTTCTTGAATACTTCAAACCAGAATATCCATTCTGTTTTTCTTTTCCTTCCATGATGGAAAAAGACTAAGCACATGTCACCTGGAGGCCACCCTGAATCAACCTAACCTCGTGCTGTGCTCGAGGCAAACTATCACTTCTGAAATACTTTACCTTTCTTCCTTGCCAATATTTTGCATTTCTTTCTAAAAATTAATGACATAGCAGACTCTTAAATTTTTAGGTTCTTTTTAGAGGTCATCATCGGCCCCTTTGCTTGCAGCCTTTGGGGGAATGAGCATTCAGACTCACAGATGCCCCCAGGACGTATCATCCTGCTGGATGTATCATCCAGTGGTAAATTCCTCCAGGTCCAAGGAAAGCTCATACTCACGCTGAGAACATTGGGGTAATTTAAGGTCATTTAATTCCGTGTTCTGTACAGCAGACATTTAATCAATATTGACTCAAAATAAAGCTCAGTTAATGGTGAATTTTTACAATGTATACACTGAGTCACTGTCAACCAGAATGTAGAGACTTTTGAAACAGGAAAAGGGAGTTTCTTGATATCTGGTTCTTGCCTCATTGACCCTAACTCCTACCATTCTCTCTCCCATTGCAGAAATTTACCAAGGAAGTTTCCAAGGAAATGTACCAAAGGGCACCGTGACCCGAGTAAGACATTGTCAACAGAAAGGAGATTATGAATTCTAGATATTATTACTAAACTCTCTCCAGATGGCTAAACTGGAGACATGTGGGGGAAACTACACACAGTCAAGGTTGAAGAAAAAGTACAGGTTAAGCATAAAAAAGGATCATCTCCTCCAGTAGTTGTCAATTTCTGGGTCACAGAGCCCAGGGGAGCCTTGACATTATTGCAAGCGGCCTATGGCTTCTTTCTTCTTTAGAAAGGTTATATTTATATTAGAAAAGGTTGAGAGGCACTGATTTTGTGAGTGTGTTATACAACAGCAGCTGCAGGCCATGCTATTTCACAGCAGTAAGAAGTAAACAGTGCTTCAAGGTGAAAAATCAAGCAGATAGAAATTCAAATTATGTTCCTTACTTCCTTAACATGCAGAAAATCTTTTGCTTCAAATGAGATGGCCATGCCTGGCACAGGAACATCATCTTCATGGGCTGCACTGTAGCTGACATTTGTCCGAACTGCAAATGCAACAGGCTTTGTCTAAAGAGGGAAGAAGCAGGGAGGAAAAAGTAAGAAACAGCAGTGTCTCCCCCACCCAACTATAAGTACACTGATTAACTGCTGGAGTTGTTTTCTCCACCTTTTTCTTTAACCAAAACAGCTAATTAGTATTCACAACACATGAGATTTTCAAGCTCCAGGCTACGTAACACCTGTTTCCAAAATAAAAAAAGGCCATTGTCCTCTCTGAAAGCACTACAAATAATGAAGGTGAAGATGAGCTACTGAAATATGTGTTTACAACCCAATAGCTTGTAGCAACTGGAAACTGGGAAACAGAGGAATAGAATTCTTAGCTCTTTAGTTCAGAGGAAAAGACTTAGGAACTGCCACCCCCATCCTGAACATTTACTTTATTCAATAAATGTTGACACAATTCCCAAAAGTATAATGTTTTGGACAAAAAAAAAAAGGAGACAACGCTATGTCTTATGACTACAGCAATTACAGTCATTTTACATGGCTGCTTCTCTTTGAGTCACTACAGATGATATTATTCAATCTGTGCTCTGTTATTTGATATTTTGCAAATTTCCTCTATCTAGGCAATACCTGGTTATCCACTAAGTGAGAAAATAGACAAATTCAGAAAAGAGGTTTGTTCCCTTGACATGAGTGGCAAGTGGATTTGGAGGACAAGGGGGAAAGCACAATCGACAAAGCCAGCTTCATTTCCAGATTTTCCAGATTAATCCCTTCTACCTGAGGCTGTCTGGGTAGAGGACTGAGTACTGAAACTACTTAGGTCCACAGATGCAGACTGGGAGAGGAGGAGCAAGTTGTGGATCTGGGCACAGTAGCCATGCAGTGAACTTCAATATCTGAAATCCAATTCCTAACATTTACTAGGATTTTTAATGATAAGAGGAATGCTGCCTCTATGGAAATATGGACTGAAAAAACAAAAGTTGCCCATAGTTCTACCACTGAAACAATCATGATAGTATGATGGTATTTTCATTTTTCATGAAAAAATTTGAAAAATCTATAGATATTATTTTCATAATTAGAATCATAAAATATTTTATTTTTTCCAATTTTTAAAGTATTATAGTATTTTTCATGTGATATATTTTTAAAAATCTACCATTTAAGGGGCCTCTCTGGTGGCACAAGGGGTTAAGCGTCAGCCCTATGAAGCTATCACAGTCATTGAAGCATGAGTTTGATCTCCGGCCAGGGAGCTACCCACATGGCGCAGCAGACCTCTCCTGTCTTGCCCACTGCTCCCCTCAGCAGTGTATTTCAGTAGATCTGCCTGCTCCCCACTCTATCTCTGGTGAATCCTCTCACCACCACCCCCCACACCTCTGGCCTGTACCCCAGCTCTTGGATACATAAATAAATCTTTAAAACAAAACTACTATTTAAATATTTACTGCAGCCATTCACCTTTTTTTGACATTTAAAAGTTTATAACTTTTTTCACTATGATTAATGTTCTGCTTTGAAAAATCTTTGTGCAAAAAGCCTCTTACTCTTTGGGATTCTTTCCTTGAGATAGATCTTAAGAGGTAGCATGAGTAAGCCATGAGTTATCAAGACATTAAAAAATTCTATTCCAAACTACTGTTCAAATGGGCTGAACCACTAAAAACTGCAAAAAAGCAGTGCATACACAATGGTGCCCTTTACAATGTGATGTAATCTTAATTAGACTCAGTTTTACTACTAGAAACAGAATTTCCCTGAGTAGATCCATCCATTATTCAGGAGCATTTCTGACCGTAAAAATATGGATACAAAATTTTTTGTAATGTTAATATGATCTCTCATCTCTCTCAGGATCTTTTCATCCTGGTAAGATGCAGTGTTAAAAGTGTCATGTATTTTTTTCCATTACCGGAAAACAAACTTTAGGTGTGCGATTCTATTGAGAAGCCTATAGAAAATCTCATTATTTTATGCAATGACCAACTATTCAATATTGAAATAACAGGAAGAGAGAATGCTAAAATAATAACAATGACAATAACAATAACAATAATAATAATAATAATAAAGGGGCGGAGAAGATTGGCATATAATTCCAGGACCAGGTAATATCTTTGCTTAGATTAAGACATTAATTTAAAATGTGCCTCTTTCCTTGGCTCACCTCCTATCAGTGACAATGTGACTATTAAATATGGAGGTTTAGATGGAAATCGGCTTTATGAACACACAAGTCAGAAAGAAGAGCAGCAGAATATAGTCCCTCAGTATCGTCCCTTCAGGAACTGTATTTCTAAGATAAGAATGGAGAGCAAAGTGGAAGAAGAAAATAAGACACAGTGAAGATAAGAGAGCTTATCAGTTTGTGATAAAAGATTCCAGGATGTAAACTGAAGGGGCCAAGTAACAATGTCACTTTTTATTCCCTGAGCTCAGTTCAGCTTTCTCGAGCTCAATCAGGGCATCAATAACATGGGGGATTTTTTCCACATCAACTCCTTTCATACAGGTTCAAGAACTGAGTGTTTTAAATAACCTTGGGGTGTTGATTCTGCCACTGACTGAGGGAGTGACCCTGACTCACTGAACATGTTTCCTCATGGTTAAGATGAGAAAAATAGCACCCTTCTGGCAGCTGGGATTCCAGAAAATGAATGCCACAAGGCTAGGCTAGTGTTTGGTATATACATTGAGATCAATGACAAGCACTTTTTACACACCAAAATTATACCATGCATAAATAAACACTTTTTCACAGTCTCTCACAAATCATTTTCTCTATATCTCTCCTCAGATCAATCTAGTCAATACAGTTTAATACCTGCCATATGATGTGTACTAAATTAGTTATACTCAAGTTCTTTCTTCTAATATAGACTCTTTCAAATTTTTTAGCATATGAGAAAATGGTAATGTTTTTCAATATTCATTTCACATATAGGGACCTATCACTTTAATTATAGGTCGTTAACTAATTCTAGTATTCTTTGTTAATTCTCAGATAGGATGGCTTTTTTTTTTTCCATTTTTAACCAATTTGACATCCTAAGAGAACAGCTCTTAAGGAACCTTTGGATTTTGATGCCATGAAACTATTTTATATCAAATGAGTCCCTGCTTCAAGCTGACATCTTCGTGTCTGGCCTACACGGTATGGTCAAGCACCTCACAGCACATTTTCCTGCCCTCATTCACAGTTTCCTCCTGGTTCCAATGAAACAGCCACTTTCAGCCTGGAAGCCTGCCACACTATGTTGATTTTCCAGAACTGCTTTTCCAACCAGGTTCCTGGGACGTAGTTCAGCTAATCCCCAACTTCACTTTCATGTCATAACAATTTATAACTATAATGGATTCTCTTGGGTCATTTATGTTTTGAGATTGGTGGCCACCTACTCTCTTTCTTATTCCTTTCTTAAGGTAAGGCTAAGTCCTGAGAAGCAAGAACAAACAGAACACAGAAACGACCCTACAGAATCCTCATGGATACCAGGATCAGGCTCGATTGTGGTGACAAAGAGCTCCAGGACACACTGGAATCCAAGAGATACCCTCCATGTCCCTCAGTGCAAAGTGGAACTGGAAAAGCAAGAGAATCCGAGCCTGTTTAATTTGGTATTAAGTCAAGCATGGCTGCTTAATTCCACCATTGCTCCCAGAAGCTCCCTGCTCAGGAAGTCTAGTTCACCGCATACTGAGACTTGTAATTCAAGACAAGTACATGTAAGTGGGGGTAGGGATATGGCATCTGTCTCCTGGGCCACTCCTCTTCCTTTATGGAGACACATTCTGAAACAGAGAAAGCGTTTTTTGAATTCTCAATGGTCCATTCATTCATTCACTCACCCATTCCGTTTAGTCATTATTGACAGGGATGGCTGTGGTCAGTTGGGATACTGAAGTGAATGACAGATACTAATGCCGCGGACCAGCACAGCAGTAGACAATGAGGCCGTCTCAGGGTTGAGAGACTGCGCAGGGTGGTCAGGGATTCGGTTAAAGAAATGACAAACAGACACACTTCAAGAGAAAGTGTAAATCTGAGTGTAACTTTATTTTTGTTAGTGGTCAGTATATATATATTTTTTCTAAAGGCACAGGAACAGTGAACATCAAAGAAATCAGTTTGTTCATAGGTTTAGCTTATCATTGACAGGGCAGTGATTTATGTCCAAAATACATCTGGACCTAGCTGCATTCCTAAGTAGACAGGTTATTAACTCTTTTTATATTTTTGTACTAATTACTACTACTATTATCTACTTATGTTTACTCATAATTAATTGTCATAGGTAAATTTATATTATAATGTAGTTAATATCAAAGGTACTAAAGTTAAGCACATAATAGAAAGATTATTAAACTACATTTCTATTATAACACAGTGTTTAGTAATGTTTCATTTGCATTAGCCTAATTATTAAATTACGTATGCTTTTTAATTAGCAATCAATGACCAGAAAAAGGAAAGATTTTAGAGAGACAGTTGTAGCAGAATAAAGTTTATGGGCCTTGAGAAAGCGAGATAAGGTTCCAGGTGGTCAGCATTTCTTTTAATCATCTTTGTGGCAGCTTCTGGTGGTCGTTATCTCTTGGCAGGCATTCGGCTTCTCTGCATCTTAGGGAGTTTGCTGTTCTCCCCCTGCACGCATGGTTCCTTGCCCACGCCGGACCTCAGGGACCATGGCAACAGCCATTAGCCCTGAGGGTCACTGCAGGGGGAGGTGCAGCATACTAACATATGCCCTGTTTCCTAGGAGCATTTGTCATGGAAATGGAAAAAATCAAAACAGCTAAAAATGGCCAGAGTGCAAAGGTGACAGAGCAGGCACAATTTTAAATGGGAGTACAGGTAACCACATGAAGGAGGTAACAGCTGAGCAAAAGTATAAGGGAGATGCGGGACAGCAGTTGTCTGAATGTCATGCAGAAAGGACAGTCAGGGCAGGGGCCCTGAAGTGGGTAACACCTACAGCCAACTCACTGGTAAAAGGTAGAGCTTTTCAGACTCTGTCCTCTTCCTGAATGGGGGCTACTGGACACTA